GGCGATCCTTCCGAGGTCACTTCCGGTAGGATTAGTGTGATGGTCGAAGTACCTCTGTAAAACAGCTACCTGGTCCTCGTTGAAGGCTGTTCGGAATCGCTTGGACTTTGGTCTGCAGTTGAAGCTCTCGTCGTCGGGGTTGAGGACGTGAACGCGGCAAAGTACTCGACCGTCGTGGATGGCAAAGTCTTCTCCTGTGGACAACTGTCTCTTGCACATGCTGCACGAGAAACATGCAAGGTGGTACATGTTCTCACCGGCCGATCTCACCCAATCTCCAGACTCGATGGGTCGTAAACAGGAACTACACTTTGTCTGGTAAACGTAGGCGAAGTCTCTCTGGCAGAATATGTTCCCGTCTCTGACGAAGCAAGTAGAATGTCCATCAAGCGTCACCTGACACACACAGCAACGCAGACAGTGCTCGTGCCACACGCGATCCCCAGCACGTAGATAGTACTGGTCAGTGATGACGTCACAGCAAGAGAAACACAAGGGGTTAGCCATGTTGAAACTGAGAGCGATGAAGTCTACTGACTCTTCCAAGTCGGAGGAGAGGAGATCATATGACATGTCCGACATTGTGAAGAAGCACCGGGGGAAATAGAGCAAGATGAAGATAACGTGATAAGTGATGCTGAAAATGTTGTGCACAGCAGTTAATATATGCATCGGTGGCAGTTCCGAGTGAACGCATATGCCATGACGAGGAGTGAAGACCGTTATGACACGCTGTGACGTCACCAGCGCGTGTCACAGCAGCAATTGCTGATTGATTAGTAATCAGGTGTTTTCTGTAATGATTAACTGATCACTTGATCACCTAATTAACCAGTTTAAATTTCAAGACGGCGAAGCTTCAGTCAGCCGCATCAGAAAAATATGACATTTTTATTTTTAGGAATATTTTTTCTGTGAAAGTATTACATGTATCTGAATATAGATATTTTGACCTGATTAGTCGTATCATATATTCGGATCAGCAACGATAAAGTTCGATTTAATATATAAAATACAACATCATACATTTAGACGCACAATATGTGAATCTGATACACTTAGATGTACATTTTACTTAAAAGAAGACCCGATTGTTGCATATGAGAAACGTTGATCGTTCACTGTATTACAAATTAACTACAGTGATATAAGAGCATCTGCAATATAGTGCAGAAACCCATCATTTGTATTCAGCCCGACACCCGACCCAAAAATCATTTTCTATATATCCATAGTTTCATACTTGGAAAAAAGGGTCATCTTTTGTGTGTTTTTATGCTATAATTGAGGGTGTGGGTTCGAATCCCGGATGGGGCTCAACCTAAGAAACGTACTAGAATCTGTAATTTACTAAGAAAGTGCAATCCCAAATATAACATTTGTTACATCAGTAACCCAGTTTTTATCCACATTTCCATCAAATAAAAGCATCATATTATAGCATTTCTTTGGTAAGCGATATGTTGGCGTGTGTAATACCTTTATGCAATACCGGATTACTTTCAAATATGAGCATATACATGTATATATAAAGGAAACCTGTCGCATTCTCCACAGATCATGATATTTGGAGTGTTTTGTTTAACACCCAAAAACCTTTTACAAGCATACAGATTTACCTTTTCTAATTTTCCAAATGTATTTATTCTCCACATTTCTGCGCTATATAAAAGACTAGGATATATTTTTGCATCAAACACATCATGTTTTTATTGAACGCCTTGTGTATTCATAGCAATCAGCGTATAATAAAGCTGTTATCGTACTGAGATGACCCGTGCGAGGGGGCCTAATGATTGGGTGTTTTTTTAATGTTACTATGAGATATGGTCACACGACTGGGTGATTAATCCTTGATTGGACATCAACTGATTACGACGATCGGTGACCACTGTGCGTGTCACAACAGTCAGTGTCATGACACTGTCGTTCACTCTAATGTGCCAACTTCAACCTATAAATGGTGTAAGTGTGCTCCGAGTTGTACGTTTCTCCTCCTGAAAACATAGGTGTATTGCTATAGTTCACCATGGGTTCCTCCAAAATGTCGGACATATCATATGACTATCTTTCCTCTGACTTGGAGGAGTCAGCAGACTTCATCGCTCTCAGTTTCAACATGGCTGACCCCTTGTGTTTCACGTGCTGTGACGTCATCACTGACCAGTTCTATCTACGTGCTGGGGATCACGTGTGGCACGAGCACTGTCTGCGTTGCTGTGTGTGTCAGGTGACGCTCGGTGGACATTCTACTTGCTTCGTCAGGAACGGAAACATATTCTGTCAGAGAGACTTCGCCCAGGTTTATAAGACCAAATGTAGTTCCTGTTTAAGGCCGATCGAGTCTGGAGATTGGGTGAGATCGGCCGGTGAGAACATGTACCACCTTGCATGTTTCTCATGCAGCACGTGCCAAAGACAGTTGTCCACAGGAGAAGACTTCGCCATCCACGACGGTCGAGTACTTTGCCGCGTTCACGTCCTCAACCCCGACGACGAGAACTTCAACTGCAGACCAAAGTCCAAGAGATTCCGAACAGCCTTCAACGAGGACCAGGTAGCTGTTTTACAGAAGTGCTTCGACCTTGACACCAACCCTACAGGAAGTGACCTCGGGATGATCGCCGAAGAAGCGGGTCTTCCCAGAAGAGTGGCCCAAGTATGGTTCCAGAATGCCCGAGCTAAGCTCAAGAGAGCCATGCACTGAACATTCGAGTTCGCGTGTCAGCTAGTGCTTTATGTAAACTGTTTATGTACTGTGGTGAATCCTGGTATATGTATGTATTGTAGAAATCAACCACATCTATTTAATCAACGCATATAGAAATAAATGAAAGATGAAATGAATCAATGTCTGTAAGTCTGTCTGCCTGACCTTGGGGTGATCACAAAGGAGATGTGAAGAGTGTCCAAAGTGTGGTTTCAAAGAAACCCAACGAATTAACTTAACAAGCAGAAAAGAGACTCGTCACGTCTTGTGATCATACTGGTTCCATCTAAGCGCGTACGTACGAAACAGTTGTCAACTGGGGCCTTCTAATTCACTTATATTTTACATGTTTATATAATATATGATGTTTTTTAAAGCACATCGAATTAAGTAGGCTTTATGTTGACACAGTTAAAACTTAAGTTGGACACAATTAATTGTATCTTTGATATATTTTGAGATACAAGATGTATTTGAAATTGATAGACAATCCTGAAAGATTTTTTGATCGATGGACCGGAAGTAACGTAAGTATTCTGACTGGCATGTCGTATTTCCTCACATACTATTCATTGATAGTGGACGAGTCTTCCTGAAGGTTACGGAAAGGGGCGAGTGGTGATGAATGGCAGCATAAATACGTTGTTTGGAGAAAGGGGGAAATAACTACATGGATATCGTGATATATTTTACAGTGACTGCAGTGTAGATATTAACACTGAGATAAGTGATAGCTTACTGTGGGAAAGAAGTTGTTTATCCAAAGAAAGCATCTCATTTGTTCACCATACGGATCTATAACTCTCATTTAAAGATGTTATCAGTTCTTTGAAAATGCAAAAAATATTTTCTGCCTTAACACGTTGTCTTTGTAAATGTCAACTGTATCACAACATGTGTGTTTAGAAATCCCTGTCAAACAGCGATAACCATGTGATATCCGGCTCCTCCGGGGAACCATTCACAAACACATACAAAGGCAAGTCATTTGCCACCTGAAACTAATGAGAATTGCACTGGAGAGACCGATGAGTCAAATTTTGGAAATGTCTTCTACGTGTCTACGGTATAACTTCTTTTGAGACCTAAAGTTCTGAGCAAACAATATTTGAGTTGAATGAGAGTGTTGTACCTGCAAACTGAAGCGACAAAACCATGTCCACATCCACAAGAAATCTCTTCTGAAAGCAGAGCCGGTTGTACAATTGTGACTATATCATGAGTATATATTTGTTTCAGCAGTATCACAGCTGTACGATGATGTTTGTAAACAAATCGAGTCCGGAGCAGACAATCCAGTGATTGTCACCATGTGATACGATGACAGAGCATGTGTTTATAAACCACTATGAAAGTCTTGATACCGGGTGTTCAGACATAAAGTTTACGACATCCCTCGTGTCATGCAAACTAATGGATATTTGTTTTAGTTGTTTGGGGGAAGTTTGTATTTGTTATTTGGTTTGTTTGTAATGCTGAATCTTTATATTCACAGAAAAATCAGATCACATGGTTTCGTTAGTTCAGTGTGTAAATACGTGAAAAAGAATTGGCTGTTACACACCTTACATATATCTGAATCTTACGTCATGGTCACATGAGCTGCCAATAAAAGCAAATATTCCATTCCATTCACAGCCCTAATCAGACTGCTAAACTAAACATATCAGAATACCAGGATTCCCTGCAAGCAACAGCTCTAATCTCACATAGTGCATATAGTATGTATGTAAAGATGTTTGTATATATTCTGTATATAGACATGTATGTGGTTGAAACGATCGCTTCGATCCCAGCCTTCTTATCTCAAGGGAATCTGAGAGATTGTACACAACTATACAAGAAACAAATGTATGCATTCTTTGTTTATTATTCACATGTAGAAGAATGTCAAATGCCATGCTATTACTTCAGAGGCAATAATAGACATTTTAATAACATGAAGCAATTATTGATCACAGGTGCGATGCAATGACATGTTGGTCACATAAACATATGCAGAAAAAAATGATTTAAAGGGCAAAGCATGACAATTGTATCTTATAAAGAACAGTGGGAATTTAAAAGAAACAGGCAATTCTAGCCACCCCCGAAAACCTCGGCCTGTCTAATCATGTAAAACGTTCCTTTGTGGTTCATTTTACCGGGATTTGCTGCACAGGGTAATAAGTTTCATAGCACTTGACCCATGAATCGATGGAGGCCGGATAAATAGATGCGGGTGTCTTCAGATACCCGTGACTAACACAGCACATAAATAGAGCACTACCTGACACGCAAGATCAAAAGTTCACTGCATGGCTCTCTTCTTGAGTTTAGCACGTGAATTTTGGAACCACACTTGGGCCACTCGTCTTGGAAGGCCCGCTTCTTCGGCAATCCTCCCGAGATCACTTCCGGTAGGTTTGGTGTCAAGGTCGAAGTACCTCTGTAAAACTGCTACCTGGTCCTTGTTGAAGGCTGTTCGGCATCGCTTGGAATTGTGTCTGCAGTTAACGTTCTCTTCGTCGGGGTTGAGGGCGTGGACTCGGCAAAGTACCCGACCGTCGTGGATGGCGAAGTCTTCTCCTGTGGACAATTGTCTCTTGCACATGCTGCACGAGAAACATGCAAGGTGGTACATGTTCTCACCGGCCGATCTCACCCAATCTCCAGACTCGATGGGTCTTAAACAGGAACTACACCTTGTCTTATAAACGTAGGCGAAGTCTCTCTGACAGAATATGTCCCCGTCTCTGACGAAGCAAGTAGAATGTCCACCAAGCGTCACCTGACACACACAGCAACGCAGACAGTGTTCGTGATACACGTGATCCCCCGCACGTAGATAGAACTGGTCGGTGATGACGTCACAGCAAGTGAAACACAAGGGGTCAGCCATGTTGAAACTGAGAGCGATGACGTCTGCTGATTCTTCCAAGTCGGAGGACATGAGGTCATATGATGTGTCCGACATTGCGTAGATTTCCAGGAGAAGGTGAGGGGAGAAGTGCCTGTAGACCTGATTCTGTTACCTTTATACTCGGGACTTTGTCAGCTTGGATGTGCTGACACATGACGAGTATCGTGTCACACTGTGACCGGTCCGTGGTCAGTGCTGGTCAGTGCAGTGATTAATCTGTGATGAGCAGTGCCGTTATGAACTTGTTTTCTTAATTATTTCACACCGGTCAATCAGTCAATATGTTTTTACAACTAAGTGAACGTTACTGCCCAGGCAATCAAGCCGCTGACCCCACGAAGATTGACCCCTCCGTCCGGAAATACTAGTATACTTGACAACTAGTTAAGTCACGCTAAACGTTACTTTTACGCCTCGATGATGTTTGTCTCGGGCGTGACACAGACTTCACCGGAAGAGCTCTGATAAATCTCCAACAAGAAATCATAGAGAATTCATGGTGTTTTTATGTCTTTGTTTGTTTAGATAAACGTGACTACATTGTTGAGAACCTGAAAAAGCCATATGTTTGTGATTCTAACAATATTGTCATATTTTGATAGTGCGGCAACAGAATATTTCTGGCATAACGTAACACGGACATTCCAACAGTAGATTTATGTTTACACAAGGCCACGTAAAAAATCTTATGCCCACATTCCATAAATCTTTGAAAATATCTATTGTTTGCAGGTTGTTGCAAATATTCTATTTTTGGGGAGTTCCCTTTCAATTCATCATTTCATATTCAACCTGAACTTTCCTCAACATGATAGAACTGAAAAGAAAATAAGCGGGCTAATTGATGTTTTAAATTCAATAATAAAAACAGCTGGATAATTAAACTATTCATAATGATAATTTTGGAATTCCAAATAATTTAAAGACAGATAATTTTCGTCTTTGCTTCTCAATAAATAATGTAGTTCCTTCTTGTGGTCACACACAATCCACGTTTCCACAGTAACATCTTTAACGGTAAAAAAATGACTTTGTCATGAGAAGTTGTGGAGAGGAGCGGTGGTATATTTGGTTATCTTTTCAAAATGGAAAATAAAAAAATAGTATCAGACATTCCTCGCTTTGTCAACAACATCGACAGGTTTTGGTCATTCAACTTATGATACGCATCAAAAGGTACACTTGTAAATATGATCAAAGTGTATGAATATGCATTATACAAACGCCACATTTTTCACCTTAACTTCTCAACAATGGTCGACAGATATAAACAAATCCTTTGTGTTTGTTATAAGGTGAACAAGATCATGTACGTAACACATGTTATATTTGGGATTACACTTTCTCATTATATTATTCAGTCAGTCTTGGCCTCGTCATGTGAAATTACAATAATGCTGCTGGAGACTACTCTGATCATTACTCTGAATTAATGGGTTTTGCAGAGTAGGCGACAATAAAAAGAAACTCTCAGTTTTTTTTATATTATTTCTATTTTCTTTACTTTCACTGTTGGGGGATCCTTAAACTAATTAATTACAAAAACGGCACAAAGTAACAGGCTGACACGGGACATAAATAGCATTAAATTTAAATCATTAATCATTACCAATTAAGGTTTAACATCATCTGCTCAGTTGTGAGATGCAATCACGTTGCCAATCACAATGCATCGATCAGATCGCCAATCAGCTAATCGATAGGTCGCCATGACGTGTTAAAACACTTATCATCATGACACGCTTGTTCACTCAAGTTGTCAAACCAACATATAAATCACTTCTTGTTCGCCGCTGTCGTCATTCCATTCTCCATCGTCTTCATCAAGGCATCAGTAAGACCTCCTTTGCACCCTAAAAATGTCGGATATGTCATATGAACTCCTCTCCTCCGACTTGGAAGAATCGGCAGACTTCATCGCTCTCAGTTTCAACGTGGCTGACCCCTTGTGTTTCACGTGCTGTGACGTCATCACTGACCAGTACTATCTACGTGCTGGGGATCACGTGTGGCACGAACACTGTCTGCGTTGCTGTGTGTGTCAGGTGACGCTCGGTGGACATTCTACTTGCTTCGTCAGAGACGGAAACATATTCTGTCAGAGAGACTTCGCCTACGTTTATAAGACAAGGTGTAGTTCCTGTTTAAGACCCATCGAGTCCGGAGATTGGGTGAGATCGGCCGGTGAGAACATGTACCACCTTGCATGTTTCTCGTGCAGCATGTGCAAGAGACAGTTGTCCACAGGAGAAGACTTCGCCATCCACGACGGTCGAGTCCTTTGCCGCGTTCACGTCCTCAACCCCGACGACGAGAACGTCAACTGCAGACCAAAGTCCAAGCGATTCCGAACAGCCTTCAACGAGGACCAGGTAGCTGTTTTACAGAAGTACTTCGACCTTGACACCAACCCTACAGGAAGTGACCTCGGGAGGATCGCCGAAGAAGCGGGTCTTCCCAGAAGAGTGGCCCAAGTGTGGTTCCAGAATGCCCGAGCTAAGCTCAAGAGAGCCATGCAGTGAATGTGATATTTCACACATTCAGGCAGTAATAATTATGTGACATGACTTACTGCTGATATAAAACAACCGGTACAGTCTGAAGTGCTCTTCATGAATAGGGATGAATGTTATTATTTATTGTGCCCCCTTATTATTCATGCCATCAGTGACTACATTGTACATAGCCAATGTTTGATTGTGGTATATTTCGTGTGTATATATTAAACTGTTAATAAATTATTCAATGCACATTTTATCATGTTGTATAAGATTATCTTTCAATAGCTTTTGTTCTGACGAGACCAGAGTTCGAACCGCTACCTTTCTGCTCTACGAACAAACACAATATCCACTTGACCACGAGGGCAATCATATGATATGTATATGCACGCAGTGTACTCAAGCAGTAGATGTCTCCTCCCCATGCATGCATCGCAGTCGTCCACTTTTATGTGAAGGGTTACAAGACACAATTCAACATTATCAAATTCAACATTATCAAATTCAACATTGTCAAATTCAACTTTATCAATCGAATCTGATCAGGTTAAAATCTTTTTTTTTCCACAGGTATTCATTCATAGCTGGACAGAAACATCTTTGTACATCTTCACCATAATACAGCTGCTATAATTTACAATAAAAGTCCTGAAACATCGAGTCACATAACACCACTGCAGGGACAGAAACTGGATGGAATCAATCAATACAGTGTTTTTCAGAAAGTGGTCTCATGTAACCTGCTATGTTCGGAGTTACACTTTCTCAGTAAAGAAAATATTATTTTAAACTACACGAGGAAAAGAAATAATAGAAAAGTATAAATAAAAAAATGATAATAATAATATCAGGTTAAAATCAAATTTCCCAAATTTCTGCATGAACTGCTGTGAAAGAAAAGGCCATATTTGACCACGGGGTCCTAACACCATTTAATATTTACATCAGTGACGTTTACAATGATGCAAAAAGGTGGGGACACATGAAAATGGGGCAGAAGACGATTTCTTGAGCGTTCGCTTCATCTTCGTGTTGATACCCTTGTTATCCGGAATCATGTGTAACTCCCCATGTAACTAAGTCCTAAAAGTCGCTGGAAGTTCTGTTGTTTCGGGATTTTTGTAATTTTTGTATTTTTTATTTTTTGGGGTGTGTGTGTGGGGGGTGGGGGTGGGGTTACCTTTTATTTTCCAGATGTTCAAATACATTATGTCACACATGCTCATATAAAACGTACATACATTTACTAGTCAGTTCATAGATCAAACAAGAGCTTGGAAGGTATTCTTTTTACTCTCATTACATGTATTATAATAGCTTAAGCATTTTATATTTGTACATCAGCAAACAATGTGTGAAAAGCACAGAATTTAAGCTGACTACCATTTGTAAATGAAATGCATCTACATGCTTGATAGTATTGTAGCATTTAATATTTTTTTTTGTTCTGTTGTTATTTGAACGAAATGTAAAGCAATTAGAATTTTGTTTTATCGTGCATCGGCTGTATGTCTGGGATCAGATCCACAAAGCGATCCAAGTATTAAGATGACCACAACTGAAAAACTTTAACAGATGTATGTATGTATGTATGTATGTATGTATGTATGTATGTGTGTGTGTGTGTGTGTGTGTGTGTGTGTGTGTGTGTGTGTGTGTGTGCGTGCGTGCGTGCGTGCGTGCGTGCGTGCGTGCGTGCGTGCGTGCGTGCGTGCGTGCGTGCGTGCGTGCGTGCGTGCGTGCGTGTGTGTGTGTGTGTATGTATGAATCCAGGTTTCATATTATCATTCAACACGTATGCATGCATGTATGTATTTATTTATTATACAGGGTTAGAATATTGATCTTCAGTAACCCATGCTTGTCGTAAGAGGTGACTAACGGGATCAGGTGGTCAGGCTCGCTAACTTGGTTGACACATGTCATCGGTTCCCAGTTTCGCAGATCGATGCTCATGCTGTTGATCACTGGATTGTCTGGTCCAGACTCGATTATTTACAGACCGCCGCCATATAGCTGAAATGGCGTAAAACTGAACTCACTCACTTAATAAATTATATGGTAACTTCCCTGAGGGCTGATAGTTAATATTATTGAGAGAAATGCATTATTTATTTTTAGAGAAGTGTGGTGTGATATCGTGCCTTCAAAATGTCTTTGTGACAAGGGTCCCTGATATGTACAAAACGCGTTTATACGGCCTTTAGTGGCTCGTCCTTTCTTCTGCCTGAAGACCCATTTGTTTCTTAATTGTCGACAATTTAGTTGTTTAACATTTTAGTTGTGTGTGCTTAGGGCATATCCATGTGGCGGGGAGTTCAGTGGCCATGTTATTCATATTATTACTACATAAAATTCAGCATCCTCTTGGGAATTTTGTCACAAAAATCATTTATTCCATAAAATACAGAAAGCAAGTTTTCCTTCACTCCCGTTATATCTCCTAGCACCGCCTTAAGAGATAGAGTAGATTCCTCTCGTTATATTTGGGTCTTACATTTCAGTTGGGGCACTCAATGAACTGTTATTTCAACGTTAACTACTACCAAAAAC